ACTGACTTTGGGATAATGGTCTAAGTGCATTAGCAGGATAAACTGTGTAGGTGATGAAATATACATTATTAGACAGGCTGATACGATTGGGCAAACAGTGATACAGAGGTGTACTGCTGAGTTTATGAAAGTTAGTACAACAAAGAAGCCTGTTGTAGTTCATGAGGAGAGGTCAGCATACAGTGGTGAAAGGTAAAATCAAGGAATTTCTCAGTACAGCAAGAGGGAGTAGAAAGGGTTATCATTTGTATAGTAAAAACTTTGGGAAGTGCCATTTTAAAAAATTACTGATTGGAAATCTGCTAGTGAAGAATAGAGGAAGAAATGTAGAGGTGCTTTTTCAGTAACGTGAACTAATAGATATTGACCTGAGACAAGTCCATTAAAATTGATTTCTCACAGCAGTCAGCAGTTGTTTGTTGTTTAATGTGAATGTCTAGGTTATCAGAGAAGCAGTCAAATCCCCTGAAAAACTGGGACTGGGTCGTTTAGGTGCCTTTAAAGTGGTATCCAAAATCAGAGGGCATGACAACCTTGGCTGTCACTTTTGTATATGAGACTGTGTATTCATGAAAATACGCTGTATTATTATCATCGAGCATTATTTCAACACTTTGAGAATAAGTTACAGCTGAGATGTTCTCAGAACCATCACTCCGAGCACTAAGATTTTTACATTTTCCTTCTTCAGCTCTTCAGTTTCAAGTCTGCTGGTCATTATTTTTCAGGTTTTATTTCTTTTGAAGAGATAAATTGGAAAACTGGTGTCCAGTAACCCATACTACCAAAACTTATTTCTTATACTAAAGTTGAAACTGTAACACAAGCTTCTGTAAGCTACCCAAGATGCTGGTATTTGTCCCCTTTCTGTCTTTTCTGGGTGGGAAAAAAATACAGTTTCTTCACTGTGTGCTACATCTCTTTGGAAGACTTGAAAAATGAGTCTTGAATTCCATAACTTAGTTCCAACTCCTGATGAGACAATCACCTTATTTAGAGTCCTGTGTCTTTCTCCTTCCTAGTGGTTCATAGATGTGGTCATTCAAATCTGCTGTCTCCTTTTGCACATTGAGTGGACTTCTAAGTGAAAGAATCGAAAGGAATAGGTCATCCCAACACTTGACTGATGTTCATGTTACTGTGGTTTTTGACAAGAAGAGTGATCAAGAGAAAATAATCTGTAATTGTTCTGAAAATACTATAACTGGTGAGGAACATACAGGCAGACTTCTTAAAGCTATGTTCTCTTGTTGTTTTAAGCATTCACACAGACTCTTTATTGGAAGCTGAAACCTTGGCCAAAGGTGTAGCTTTTCAAGGAGACCACAAAAAACATCTCCCTGAAGCTGACATTCCCTCTTCTTTCCATTCCTTTGAAATTCAGTACCTTCTGGTTCAAGTATTAGAATTTCTAGAGCTTCCCATCAAAGTATAAGTTCGTCTGTGTAGGCTTCTTTCCGTGTGTGTCTGTGTGTGTGCATGCATGCACACATATACAATGGATGCCTTGGATGCCTTTTTTTTTTCCCCCCTAAGGAGGGGCAGGGGGATTTTGAATCGGATTCATCACATTGGGAAAGTTTAATCCAGTTACTTGTTTGCCTAAGCAACAGATTTTTATAATATAAAGTTTTAGGTCATCTTGACTATTCAGACCCTATTGTTTATCTGTGCTTACGATAATGCAAATAATTGTCAGTCAAAAAGGATTGAAATACTAATTTTTCAAGAAATATAATAGATCTACTTTAGCGTAAATTTACTACAATCTACAATGGATGAAAAGAAGTCGCAAGAGAAGGAGACTCTACGTTAGAATATGTGGTAGAAACTTTAATAATGGCATGGCACTTTCATTCTCTCTCTGAGGTTGGGGAATTAAAAATGTAAAAACACAACGTTTCTCATGGATTGTGGTAATAGCACAATGAAAGCGCATCATTTAGATTAGGTATGTACAAAACCTCAGCAGGATTCTATAGGAGTCTGTCTCCAAGTAAACTCTATGAAAAGTTAATCATGTTTTTTTTGATGGCCTCCCTATCCATCTTCTAGCTATATGTAGGCTCAGCATTCCAAGCATGCCAAGTGTGTCTCTATAGAAAAGGTGTTTATTAGAAGCTGTCAAAGAACACAGCCCTCAAAATGCTCAAAGGGGCAACTGTATTTTGTTCTAAATGTGATCAAAACCAAATCCTGAACATCTCGAAGTCCTCTGAAATGGTGATACTTTGAACTCTTTGAGTTAATGTCAATTTGACCCCAGGTAGCATATGTTCAGATGCAAGCTTTTAAATGTGAAGCCATTTCCTTCCTAAAGTGAGACTAACTGGCAGTGGTCTTACCCCTAACCCTGAAATTCCTTAAGCCCATATTTCCCCATTGGTAGGTTTAATTGATAAGTGAACAGCCGTGAAGTCGTATGTCTACAAAGGGAATTAGGTGGCAGTGTGAGATTTGGCAAGGACTCTCAGCTTTGCCTGCCTGCACATTTTTGTAGGAAGACAGTTTAGATGCGTTTAAAAAATCAGTTGATCGATGGGAATAACAAGGTGCCATTGGTTGTCTTGTGTTGTTTTCAAGGAGTTATAGAAACCTGTGATGCTTGGAAGTTTACAACTGGGGTAGCCAAACTCTTGAGGCTGCTTGTTTTGCTTGTTTTTCTAAGCCCTGGCTCTGTTTGGCCTTCTGAAAATAAAATTCTCAAGGACAATTCACTTATGCCATAGCGGAAAAAGACTCCTTGGAGTTCTAGGGGAATGATCCTCTCATCCCTTTGATAGCCGTCTCATCTTCAGCAGCAGGA